AAGATATGTGTGGAGTCGCTTTCCGGCCATTGTCCCACCTTGCTGTGTGTTGCTCTAGAACCAGCAAAATTGTCAAGAATTACTGTTTTGCGTCTGAAACGAGAGCAATTTTATGTGCCGTGGGTTCAGTGTTGGATGCCGTGCACACATCCAGGCCAGGTCCAGCAGTAGTTTCCAGAAGCCATGCACCGGTGGCTGTAAATTTTTCTCCATTTTTCACTTTTTTTAAAAAAAGAGGACGATTATACATAGCCACTGTCCACACGTCTGTACGTTTTGTCCCGCACGGGCATGCGTCCACTCTGCCGCGTCTTGTCACCTCTGACCAACTTGGACGGTATCATTATTACTTGGAGCCATCTTGCATTTCTTCCTCGTCTAGTCAAAGCTGCTGCCCAACGAACCCTAACGACGCACCCACCCACCCAACAAATACAAAACCAGGCGTGCTGTGCATGCCTGGCTAGACCATGTCAAACGAAGGTTGATAGCCCACAAGCAACACGGCAAGGAATTACCATTGGCTAGGGGTGCACCCATCACATTCGTCCAAGTAATAAATTTACATACATATATATACACGGCCATGTTGGATGTCAAGGGTTCCATTTTGGATGCTGTGCACACATCCAGGTCCAGAAGTACCTTCAAGAATTCATGCATAATTGGTTGTAATTTTTTCTCCATTTCACTTATAAAATAAGATTAATTTTGTTTTGCGGGGATTGCAAAATATGATTGCACATTGACAATTTCCACGTGCCTGGTCCTTGTCAAGTAGGGATGCAATGGAGGTGAGCACGTCCGCGAAGTCTGCAACCACCCGCATTGATCTTTTTTGCATCAAGATGACAACAAGGTCATTAAAGCAACAGTGATTAGCTTATTTTCGTTTTCGCAACGCGTCCACTTGACTCCCAGGTCCTTGTCCCTTCCAAATGGACCAGACAAAGAGCTCCCTATTCTTATCGTGTTCGGACTGACTTTTGATCAGGTATAAAGATGATTGTATAATTAGATCCATCTTGCTCTTCTCCCTCGTCTGGTCATACTTAGAGCACAAACCTATCGAGATATCCAACCACATATGAAACGAAATACAAAAAATCACGCATGCAATCCTAGACCATGTCAACGAGCATGGATAACCCACAAACAAGCAATTACTATACTACCGATGAGGGTGCACGCGACGCGTTAATCTTCCTCTTTGTTGATCATGCCAAAAAAATTAGACAATGTGATATAATAAATATAATCACACGCGAAACAAAAGCATAAATATTTTTAGGCATAATTTAGACCGTGTCAACAAGCATTGGTCACCACAATCTGCCTACCTGCGTACGCGGCACAAGAGTTACAAAGAAAATGCACATATTTTAACAGCGAGGGGGGCAGGGATGAGACGGCGACATGTTGGCATGCACGGATCTTGATTCCCGATGTTCATCATGCCAGGTTTTTTATACGATCACAGGCACATCAACAGGATACGATATGCACTCCATTCGCCCACTTGGCCGCCTTGTCAAGAGTAAAGAAAACAAATCTCCTCGTGTAACTGGAGAGGAATTAACAACACCCGGATTCAACTTGGGCAGGAAAAACAACTAGAGGCTTAATTAGTGCTCGATGGATTCAAGGCACTTGCCCCTGCCGACCACAACTAACATACTAGTACTACTAGGCTGGGTGATAATGAACCATTGCACGCTGCTGACAGTTTGGCTCATGTCAGCGTGATACTCCATTATGCATCAGAACGGCGGCATCATATTGCAAGGGGTGAATCCAAATCCAAACAACCAAATCATCTTAACTCGTTTATAAGAATTAATTTGCTCATCTTGTCATCTCTGGCACACGAAAGAATACGATCTAGCAGGACAAACTATAGACTTCTTCAGATACAACCCTGGCATGCTAGCACGCCGTAGCTTGCTGAAGAATGTGAAAACAAAAGAGCGAATTTTTCTATCAAGAACCCAGTCCAACACAATAGGTGGGAAGCAAAAGAGCAGAACACATTAAAGGCTGAATTTCTGTAACTTGCATAGGAACTATGTGTGTTATTGCTACACCACGTCTCATGGAACAAACATTGAGCAATTTGTAGGTGCGGGGTGATACTTGTCACTTACTTCTCCCTGTAAAACAGCTAATGCTGGTATATCTAGAACTATGCCTCCCATATGACTCAAACATCAACCCAAAACCCAATAGCACATCTCGAGAGATGCATTCAATAGATCCAAGCAACCACATTATCAGTGACTCACCAATACTGTTTAGTTGGCTCAGTCTGTCAACTGCTAGACGCTACTCAATCAGTGACAGGGCGAGACTAGAAAAACGATCTAGCACGTACAGTACTTAAAAAGATCCGGATCCCTGGAACAAACTTGCTATGTCCATTGTACTGTAGCCATCCTATTCAACACAAGCAAATAAAAAAGGCAGAAAAGGCATCAAGTTTATAACTACGAAACTGACATGGTTGCATACTATTTTAATTTGTTGAACACTGTACAAAGTTCCTATCAAAAATCTGGTCCAATGGACAATGGAATAGGCTATATGGCACAAAAACATATCTCTCTATCTATCTATCATGACTGCTTTCTGGACATGGATAAGTATTTCTGGTGTTCACTCTAACCAAGTCCACAGCATAAATCCTTACCTCTTCTGCACACAAAGCAGCTTTTAAAGTTAGCACGGCATGTCCCCTCCCAAACATGTTCCAAGTTCCAACAGCAACCAGCTTTCAAGAAACCTGCACATGTTTTTCCAACCACAGCACCAGTCACAGCAGGTGAGGAGTAACTAACAAAGTTACTCTTTGCAGAGGACAGGTGCTTCCGAAACAAACAAACGTGTGCAAGAGCAAAAAGAAGACAAGGAATGATAATATTTGAAGGCATGCTGCTTATCTCTGGAACTATCAAGGGAACACCCTGGAGTAAATGTTCCGACTTTATCAACAATTGCCTCACATCAGTCAGACACTGCCTTCTCAAGCGAGCCCCTGTCACTCGGGAAAGGGGGAAAAGGAAAAAGGAAAAGGAAAGGAAAAAAAGAAAAATCATGAATGCCATGGCACAAACTCAAGACATTTATTTTAGGCAGACTTGGTGAGAATTGAGCAGCACACAAAATAACAAATAAATTCTACAGCACAATTGTCTACATTCATCGGAAGGAGTAAACAACTACTGAACTTAAACATACGGATCAATTAAGCTGCTGAACTTTTTGAATCATCAGATCATTACTGATAAAAGATGCACATGAGAGAATCATACGCAAAGACACAGCACATAATGCAAACTCAATCAAAATATGTTTACAGTATGTAGATAAACATCTCAGACCATTGCACCAGCCAAAGCATGCCAACTGAAATGTAGCATAGCCTAGAGACAAGTTGTTTAATCTTTCATAATGGACTTTACTTGAGTATGGATAAGTGCGCACTCCCTTGAATCTTCAATTCACACCGCAGAATCAGCTCCAACTCTTCACAAGCCTGCAACGACAAATATATATGGTTGGTTTTGACCTCACTGTGCTAAATCACCTTACAATCTCCAGTGTTACATTTAGAAGTTTACTCCAAGGAGCAAATCTCCATCAGTTAAGTTAACGAGGAATACATTTTTATAGATCAGATGAACACTCTGGTCGGCACTGAAGCTCGCCAAAAGATCTTCATATCCTGCAAATAAAACTCCTAAATCAGAGAGGAGATAACAAACACCAGTTCAGCAATGCATCCATTGTATGAGTAGACTCTGCAATCAGCCAACTGAATGATGTGGCAGGTAAACACTGTGGTTAATATCACATGGCAGACTCTTCGGTGCCCCCTAAAGCGCCATCTCCTTCAAGTCCATGTTGCCCATTAATGTCAGACACAGTAGAGCACATATCTTCCTCGGTTTTCTGCTTTGATGCAGGCAATAGAGCATCTGCTGAGCATTTATCTGTACCAGTTTCATCAGCAAATTGCTGGTCTTCCTGGATGACCAGATCTGCTCCTTCTAATGAAGCATTTCGCAGCCTGACTTCAGTGCCATGCTTGAAGCCATCAGAGTCTGAACCAGCTTCCGACTGATTAACCATCCTATCAGGAGACCTCCCTTTATGAAGGTTCTTTTTATCTGAAGACAAGGGATCATCAAGGGAATTGTATTTCCTAGCTCGAGTGCCCTCTTCTGATTTCTTCGACTCATGCTGGTCAGTACCATCCCTATGGTATTTATCCCCGGAATGCCTTGAACTTCTATGGGACCGTGAAGATGAATGACGCGAACTTTTATCTCTGGAATGTCTTGATTCATCTTCTCTGTATTTTCTGTCCTTGCGAGAAGAATCGTCTTTGTCATACTTCTTGCCATCTGTCTTCATCTTCGTACTCCTACTTGTGTCATGTTTCTGAATATTATCACCATCCTCTCCCAAACTTCTCTTCTCAGATTTTGACCTTGGAGAATCCACATCCTCAATACTGTCTTCATTCTTCCTCTTGTCATACTCCACGGCAGCAGCAGCATCATGTCTAGATTTCTTGTGATTGCCATTGTCAATATCCAGCAATTCATCTTCAGATACAGATGAACTCCTCTTATGAGCAACAACAGAAGTATCTGCATTCTTATCCACTGCGTCCTTTACAGACCTTTCATCTTTGCCACCTCTAGTACCTCTATCAGATCTTTTTTTGTCATCCTGCCCCTCAGATTTTTTTACATCCTTCTTATCACTGCTACGATGCTTTCTCTCTTGAGATCTGGATCTTGAATGCCTGCTACGACGAGAAGAACGCTGATCGCGTGTTGGTGATGACTTGCTTCCTTTATGATGTCGTGGTGACCTTGAGCCAGCACGAGCTGACCTTCTTGATTTTGATGGGCTTAAACTTTCTTCCCTTTGCCGCTTCGGTGACCGAGAATCAGCTCTTGATGGCTTCTTAGACCTCGGGCTTATACTTCTGCTCCTGTTCCTCCTTGAACTAGATGAGTAATGATCACGAGACCTGTCACTCTCTCTTCTCCCAGACCTGCTATATTTGTCCCTATCATCCCTATATGATCGGTCACTGCCATACTTTGAGTGGTGAGATCTCGACGGAGATCGTGATCGGTGATCCCGGGAGCGTCTAACTGGCGGAGAGTAAGAGCGATCCCGCCTACTCCGACGGTACTTGATAGGTGATCTTGACCGAGACTTGGATCTACGAGAAGGGGGCGATGGCGATCTGTAAAGCCAATAATAAACCGGTCAGGGTTCCTTCTGCAGTTTTAAACCAAAATAAATTATGCTGTTGATAGTCCTACTCTGAGATATCACATTCTACTTCACATGTTCCATAAAACCATAGATGCATAAACGTAAATGATGAAATGTATGCCAAATAAATAGAACATCATCAAAAAGGAAGCTATCTCTTCAAAACAAACATGTGTTTCTATATCCTAAAAAATTAAGGCATGTACAATAAAAATGTATATAAAAAATCCCTTTCACACAACCAATAACTAAAGAACTGCCTGAGTAAAGACAGTGTGCTTCTAATCTCACGTTGTAATGTATAAGTAGAGCAAAATCAGGAACAAGAACTATCTGTTACCATAATACTGGAAAAGATGACAATGATTCATGTATAATCCAACTAGTCAAACATTACCTCGACTTCTCTTTGGCATCCTTTTCTTCCGCAGTTTCCCCACCAAAGCCCTCTGCTTTCAACTTCCTGCTTATCTCAGCAGCCCGTGCAGCTGCTGCATCAGTGGCATTTTTCATGGTGGCTGCACGTACAGCGGCCTGCTGAGCGGCTATTGACGTCTGCATCATCAGTGACTGCTGGAATTGCATCTGCTGCATCTGAACAGCTTGCTGCATCATCATAGGTAAATTGCTATTTGCAATACTAGTTTTTTGAGGAAGAGATTTAGCCATCTCAACATTCAAGGGGCGACCACCAACATCCACGTTGCTGAGGGCCAATGCCGCGGTTGCTTCTTCTGGTTTGGAATACTCCACATAAGCAATATGTTTCGAGTCTGTGATAGTACAATCAACAACTTTGCCACAGTACCCAAATAGCTGCTTAATGGTCTCCACTGTAAGAATTGGGCTCAGGTTGCTAATCTGAACAATTTTCTTCAGAGTCTCAGCTTTCTCGGCTTCCGTCATACCTACAAGGACTCAACATGCAGGTGAGCGACATAACTAAAAAAATAAAGTGCATGAAATAACTCATAAGAACATATAGTATACGGTAAACCTTAAGGCGTAGTCATGCTAAATAATACTACCTCTGTATCAAAATATAAGACGTTCGTGTTCGTAGGCTAAAATAGCCTAAAGAAACATCTTACATTTTGATACGGAGTGAGTACAAAATTGCATTAAGATTTTGTAACTGGACTTGCTACATAGGCGTGCAGTGTAATTTAAGAACCTTATATTATAGAGATAGGATATAGGCTTGCAACCTAACATGTCTGTATTATTGATTCGGCATACTGAGGAAGAACACAGGACCATCAGGCAAATTTTAATTATTCCTACTAGTTCAACAATAGAGCGCACATGTTACGAGAATTTCATAAGAATTGGCAGGTGTTACCTGATGAAGCCTGCTCTGCAGCTTTGGAATCAGCTTGCATCTTAGCAGCATGTGCCTGAAGCGCCTGAGCAGCCATGATAGCCTGAGCGGCTGCCATGGCTGCCGCGGAGGGTGCCATGGGAGCATGGCTGAGCGCACCCATGGACGTAGTGGCAGCCATGACAGACATGAGCAGCTGCTGTGGCGGGTGGCTGAACTTGCAGTCCGTTCCCTTGGTGCACTTCCCATTGATGTGCTCCCGGCATATCTCACCCAACGTGGAACCAACGCCTGGCAGGACAACACCACCAGAAGCGCCAGAGGAGGCACCAGGGATGAGGCCGAGCAAGCCGGGGAAGGAACCGGGCATGGAGCCCGCGTAGTTTGGCATGTTGGGCATGGTCTGGTTGAGCATATTGGGGTACGCGGACGAGGCAGCAGGGTAGGCGGACGAGGTGGTGGGGAAGGCTGCCGCGGCGGAGGCAGCGGTGGCTGCACTGAAGAAGACGGGGAAGGGGCTCCCCATGATGGGCGAGCCGTCGAGGTCGATGTGGACCATGTAGTTGCCGCGCTTGGGGACTGCGTAGGTGACGGCGTAGGATCCGTCGCCGTTGTCCCTGACGCCGCCATCTAGGTCGTCACCACCGACGCCCGCCGCGGGGCAGATGCGGACGCGTACGCGGGCGCCGCCTACGGAGACCCTGCGCCCGTCGCGGTCCTTCCCGACGACGGTGAAGGTGGCCGGCGCGCCCGCGGAGCCGCCGGCGATGCCGGGGCCCGCGGCGGAGGACTTGGAGGGGTCGACGGGGCCGGGAGGGGCGCGGGGGCGGTCGTCGTCGTCGTCGGAGTCGGATTCGGGGGCGGGGCGGAAGGCGGGCTCGGCGGGGGAGGAGGGCCTGTCGTGGCGCTCCGGGTCGGCGTCCTGGGGGGACTGGTCGGCATGGGCGGTCGAGGAGAGGGCCTTGAAGGTGGCGTCGAAGGCGGCCTTGGCGGCGGCGGTGGTGTCGGCCTCGGACTTGAGCTTGGCCTCCTCGGCCTGGCGGACCCAGATGGGCTTGGGCGCCGCCATGGGAGCGAGATGCGAGATCTCGGCGACGGCAGAGCTAGGGTTTGGCTTTGGCTTGGCTTCGCGGAGAGGAGAAGACGAGGATCAGATGGGATGCCGGGATAGATTAGGAGAGGAATATTTTTGTTTTTTTTATCATGAATAGGAGAGGAATCAGAGGACGACGGTGATACTGCCCAAACCTGGCCAACTGGGCCGTGCCTGGCAGGCCGGCCCGTTACCACGCGTGCCTAGCCCGTGATGGGCCGGCCCGGCACGTGGCTAATCGGGTTGTGCCTGGCATGGGGCCCGCATAGGGCCGTGCCTGGACCTAGAGGCTGGGCACGGACCGGCACGGCCCATTTAGTTTTTTTAATTATTTTTTAAAAAAACTATAGTTTAATAGGTAGCCCAATAGGCTAAATAATGGGTGTGCTGATGGCTAGACGTGCGGATGGGCCAGCTCGTTTAATAATAGTGTTGTGCCTGGCCTGGTAAGGCAGCACGCGTGCCGGCCCGGCACGGCCCGTGTAATTCGCGTGCCATTCGGGCCCGTATAACCTAGGTCGGGTCATGCCGTGCCGTGACGGCCCATCTGGCCAGGTTTGATACTGCCACCGCCTTCTCGAACCTACATGGGCTTTTCCTTGCACCTTCTTGGGCTTACATCTTTTCCTATTATTCGTTTAACATTTATTTTTCATGCGGCCCAAAAATCTTTTGTAATTTGGCTTGTGTGTGATTCAGCAACCGCAAACTGAAGGTGTGTTTTGTTTTCAGCCAAACCGAGCCCTACAATCCTCCAGCTCATCTGCACACAAGCCAAATTACAAAAGATTTTTCAGCCAAACCGAGCCCTACAAAATATTCATCAGACGAACAAAATCAAAACAAATATTAGAAATATTCAAAAAAATCAAAAAAAATGTGCGATAGACAATTTGATGCGTGAGGTCTGCTCCAATTTTCAAATGATTTGGACACCTGACGAGCTCTCAGCAAAGAAGACAAATTGGGGGTCTGTAAAAATGTTTACTGTTCATGTACTGTTTTGGTCCGATTCGTCTTTTTTTATGAGAGTTGCTCAGATGTCCAAATGACTTGAAATTTGGAGCGGACCTCATGCATCAAATTGTCTATCGCACAAAATTTGTTTTGGATTTTTTTGATTTTTTTAATTTGTTATGAATTGTTTTCTAACAGGGTGCAGATGGGCATGGGCACCAAAACGCCCTACACTTTTTTGACTGATTGTTCTATGTTCAGTTGTCTATCCATTGTGCTGGCCTTTGTATTCCTCGATATCAATATAATTTCAGTTTATCAGTAGTTTTATCCGCGCTATAATTAGCATCATGCAAATATTTTTTAACATAAATAGTGTCAACATGTTTATTAGCAATAGTTCCTCTAGTAGTTTCAAGTTCCCTAATAGAAAAGTTAAATGACAATTATGAATATAATCGCAATCAATAGTAGTTCCCTACATCATTTTCCCATAGACTGGATCATCGTGTGAAGGGAGAAGACTTGAACTGAATAAATAGGCATCAATTCCAATAGTGTGATGGTTTTGACTATCCAGGTGACAAATCAATACTTTGTCATAACCTATCTTCTGATTAGGGCCAACCAAGATTAGATAACCAAATAAATCAGGGCATGATCCTGAAAAGTGAAGTGACGATTCAAGGCCGTTATTATCTCAATATGTATATTTTGCTTCCTTTCGCGCGAGAAGCACAAGCCCTTGCCTGTGGGTTCAGATCGAGCAGGAGTATGTCCTATCCATCTACACCTCTCAAAACACAATATATTGAGTACCCGGAACCATGTCCACTGTTGCAAAAGCGTAACTGTAAATACTAACTGAGATCGTATAATCTCCGACTCCTCATTTTTATTCAATTATGAAATGACCCGATTTTATGGAGATTTGCAGCATCATTCAAGTAAAAACTAATTGAGATCGTGGAAACATGACCTTGTGATATAACTACACCTGATTCCTTATTTCTTTTCAGCTTTTATTGTGCATGTTTGTGTTGATGCCCCAACAGTACTTTATACTCCCTGGCACTTGTAACTTTTGTATGGATATGGTTATGACTTTATTTATAAAGCGGAGCGAAAGCCTATTTCGAAAGACAGAGAATTCATCTAGGTTGGGGTTGCGAAGCACGTATAATTCATATATATTACCTGGTTGTTGAATCTAGTTTAAATTGAGTGGGTGGGTGGGTGGGGGGTATCCTTATTATCTTTAGCAACATGTAAATATTGTAAACATCAATACTGTCAACATGTTTATTATCAATAGTTTCTCTCTAACAGTTTCAAGTTAGCTAAGTAGATCAACGTTTGTGCGATCAAAATTATGAATATAATCACAATCAGAAATATCTACTTCTCTACTAGTATTAAACAAGTAAACATTATCTTTCCTAAGTGACCCCCCAACGTACACACAACAACTGTGGCAATTAGGAGTTGTCCTAACGACCAAATCAAGGCATGATTAGATGATGTCCATCCCGCATACGGTGACGGTTGGTATGTCCGGCGATCACGGAGGCGATTTGCTCCCTCCTGATTGCCGTTGTGCGTCTACCCCGAGCGCTCAAATCTGATCGCCGGTGGGTGCCATTGAGTGATTCCGCCGTCCCACGGCGAGGCGCACTGCCCGCCCTGCGGGGCTCCCTCGTCCCCCACCAAAAGCCTTTCGGGTTCTTCCTAGGGCACACGATCGTAAAACACATGTCCAGGGTTTTCGTCACAGGCGTTGTGTCCGAGCCGCCATGGAGAAGGTAGCGGGGCTGATGGAGAAGATGAAGTTGTCGGAGGAGGAGAGAAAAGGAGTGAAGATCCGGTGGACATCGCGGGCAAAGGAGAACAAGGGTGAGATTCAGGCGGTGGGGAAGGTGATGTCGGAGAGGCCCGCGCACCCGGATGCGATCTTCCTGTCGCTTGGGAAGTGTTGATGTCCCCTGAAGGGCGTGGACTGCAAAGAGCTGGGTGAGAATATTTTCATGTTCACCTTCAAACAAGAGTCAGGCAAGTGCAAGGCGTTGGAGGATGGACCGTGGATGTTTGATAATGATCTCGTTGTGATGGTGGATTTTGTGTCGAGCAAGCGAATTGAGCAATACGTGTTTGAAGAGGTTCCTGTTTGGTTCAGAGTGTTTGGTTTGTCGTTGGGGAAGATGGAGGAGCAGATGGCGGAGGAGATTGGAAACCTAGTAGGCAAGTATGTGGAGATGGACTTCGGAGTGGATGGCTCGGTGGTAGGAAGGTTTTTGCGCATTAAGGTGCGTATGCCGATCAACAAACCGATAATGAGGGGAGTTGCGCTGGATGAGGAGTCTGAGAGTGATGAGGAGAATGGGCATGAACATGAAGGAGATGTCGAAAAGGAGAGGCCTTTTTTTCGTTTTGAGTACGAGTACCTCCCTGACTTCTGTTATATCTGTGGAATCATTGGACATGTGGACAAAGGGTGTTCTACCAAACTGATAAGGGGGAGAGGCGCAGTATGGGCGATGGTTGCGAGCTGATATGGGGAGACGGCGTGGTTTAGAGGAAGGAAGGATGTGGAGGAGCAACCAGAGTGGGAGTGGGAGTGGCTCTAGAAGTGGGTGATCATATGGTGGCGGGAGGTTGGTTGGTAGGTCTCGGAGTGATAGCCTTAGCTGGCGAAAATCTGACCCCAAGACAGGAGAGGGTCGGACGGAGGAAGGAGAAAAGGTCACTAGCCCTAGCAAGATAACTAAGGCGAGCGGGGGTGGGGGGCTTCAAAAGAGGCTAACCTTTCATGATGCTAATGCCAGTGGGGGGGACCACGAGCGGACCGCGTGGTGGTGGAGGAAAAAGGAGCAGCTATGGAGGTGGAGGTGGATGATGGGAAGGTAGACAAGGGGGTTGTGCACCAATCGGAGATGCAAAACATGAAGGCAGCAGTGGAAGAGAGCGGTGCGAGGGAGGATGGGAGAGGGAACAGTGGTGGCCATATACCGAAGAAATACAAGAAGGTTAGAAGGGAAGGGCCGATGGTGGCAAAAGAAGGCAGTGTGGTGGGCTGTGTGTTAGGGCAGAAGAGGAATGTGGAGGGGGGGAGGAGGATAACTTGAGAAAGAAGGGAAGAGTGGAAGATGGGGGTGAGAGGATGGTGGGTGCAGCTAAGACGTCTCCAGCAAACACGATATCGTCCGGGCTGCAGGAGCAGCCCCGCCGGACGCAATGATGATTGTAAGCTGGAACTGTCGAGGACTCGGGAATGGCCTGGCAATTCGTGGCCTCTTGGACCTCAAGAGGGTGGAGGATCTTGATGTCCTGTTTTTGTGCGAGACAAAGCTGTTGGAGAAGGAGTTGGAGCAGTATAGGTGGAAGCTAGATTTGGCAAATATGTGTGCGAAGGACTCAGAAGGGAGGAGCCGGGGTGGCTATTTTCTGGAGGAGGGGAATCAATCTCTCTTTGCGATCGGTGGGTAGAAGGCACGTTGATGCGGACATAACAGAGGAGGATGGTTCAACTTGGAGGATTACTGGAGTATATGGGGAGTCGCAGTGGGGAAGAAAGAAGGAAACCTGGAGGACGATGCACTTGCTTAACCAGCAACATCAGGAGGGTAGGCCGTGGCTATGCTTGGGAGATTTTAATGAGATCATGTCTAATGAGGAGAACAGAGGGGGTGTGGACCGATCGGAGGGGTGTATGAACCAGTTCAAGGAGGCGTTGGAGGAGTGCAAGTTGAGTGATCTAGGATACGAGGGAGATGTTATCACTTGGTGGAACAACTATACGCGTGCGGATGGTTATATTTGTGGGTGAATCGACCGGGCTACTGCCAACATGGAATGGTGCTCAAAGTTTCTGGAGTTCCGAGTTCGAAATGAGTTCCCGAGGCACTCCGATCACCAGCCGGTGGTGGTAGACACGGAGGAGATGGGGGACAGGGGGAAGAAGGGACGGGGATGCTTTCGGTTTGAAGCCCGGTGGTTGAAGGAAGAGGGTTGTGACTTGGTGG